AGGAAGACCCGGAAACTTCGGGGCCACGTGAGCCACCGCCACGGCTGTATCGGCAAGCACCGGAAGCACCCAGGAGGCCGGGGTAATGCTGGTGGCATGCAACACCACGGGATCAACTTCGACAAATATCACCCAGGTTACTTTGGAAAAGTTGGTATGAGACATTAACACTTAAAGAGGCATCAGAGCTTCTGCCCAACTGTCAACCTTGATAAACTGTGGACCTTGGTCAGTGAGCAGACACGGGTAAATGCTGCCAAAAACAAGACTGGAGCTGCTCCTATCATTGATGTAGTGCGATCGGGCTACTACAAAGTTTTGGGAAAGGGAAAACTCCCAAAACAGCCTGTCATCGTGAAGGCCAAATTCTTCAGTAGAAGAGCAGAGGAGAAGATTAAGGGTGTCGGAGGCGCCTGCATTCTAGTAGCTTGAAGCCACGTTTGGGGGCGTTCATTAAATGCTAACAAGTGCTTTCCTCTTCTGAAAAAAATAAATAAATAAATAAATAAAGTAAAAAGGGGGGGACTTGAGAGTCAGAAAATCTGGGTTAAAATCATGGATCTCTCCAGTTTTATAATCTTGACTTTAACTGTATGAGTTGCCTAAATGTAAATGATGATCTGCCCTACCGGGAGTCAAAACATTATAAATGTTAAAGAATTACACTACAATAAGACATCGTTACATACAGGAGAGTATTTTACTCAAAAAGAAACAAAATATTTATAATTTTGCTCATTTTAAAATTTCAGTTCAAATGCCACTATTTTGAGGACTCTTAAATTATTAAAAGGAAAAGAGAATGTCTTCAACTTTAAAACATCATCAAGTTTTAACAAAGGAGACCAAAAGAAGTTATGCTCCAGCTCCCTGTTCCTGGAAATGTGACGTGGTCAATTTCTAGGAGATAAGCAATTATATGAAAAGAAACATTTCTAATAATTTTGTCAGACGACCATGATGTAAGAGTCTCTCCAATGACCTCTGGAAAACCATTAAAATATCCCGCTTTCTTCCACCCGTATCAGTTCAGTAGGCAATTCATACCCATTTCTAGATGGCTTTCAGAAGAGGTCACCACACATGTTTACTCAAAGATTTTCCGACTGTTTTCTCTGGAATCATAATGCTCCACAGAAAAATATGTAAAATCTACTCTTTATGGATTTTATCAAAGTTTGTCTCAAATTTCACTTTTTAAACTGAAAATTCAAATTTAGTTAAAAAATCCTGTACGTTAACTCAATGTTATCTACTACATTTAAACAAGAAACCACCAATGTGTTAGGCAGCATTTCCAGGTTACCATATTTTTGCAGTGATTCAGATAGATTCTCGTGTCACCTCACCAAATAAATATGAACATCTTATAAATGTGCCATTAATCAGGAAGACTACAGCTCTGCACTTTTTTTTAAAAGTTTACTTCGTACTGTACATGTTGAGTCATGTAAAAGTGTACAAGTGAACGTACTATTGCATGTCTATATGAATCAGGATTTTATGCTGCACTGGAAGAACATTAAACTGAATATAAAGCTAGCACTGTGATCCTAGTCCCTAATCTCAATTTTGTATTTATCAAATGATTGACTTTACAAGTAAATGGTACAAATAATTTAAGCTTGCAGATGACTCAGGCAACCTTGAAAATGGTACACATATAGGAGTCGTTTTGTTTTGTTTTTTTAATCAAAAGCATTATATGATGGCAGAAAAAGTAACCTGGATGAAAATGTCAATTCCTGTGTATATGCATATAAAGTCACAGGTTTACACACTCACCAGAAGTTTGCTTAAGTTAAAACAACTTTACACCTGAACTTAGTACCAAGAAAATGCCAATAAATCAAAAATCTTTATCTATCAATCAAAACAACAAAATCCGTAAGTCCTAGACCAAAGATCCATTTATTTCAAGTAAGACCCTTACAACAAAACCCCACCTGTATCGTCCCTGAAAATTCACTGTTCTAGAATCTAGCCTGAAATCATTTAGTGAATCCACTGAAAGGGCATTCTCCCCTCTCAGAAGAAATTCCAAGCGCCATAAGACCCCTAAACTTTCAGGGACAGAAGATAGGTGCCTAAGAGGACTGCAAACAATTAGGATATATTTCAGGACTAAATAAAGCAATCGATGCAAACTGAAGAAGAGCAATCAGGTATTTCTAGCACTTTACAAGTGCTGATTCTAAAAGTGGAAAACTATACGTCTCACGGAAGTTACAAAGCAAGACACTAGATAATATTCATAAGCTGCTTAGATTAAAAAAAAAAACCACTATTCAGACACACTACATAAAAACAGTCGCTACCATGAACATAGTTTGGATTTTAAATTGATGAATACACCTTTTAAAAAGGGGGGAGGGGGTGAGGGATCTGGAGAGAAGATGATGAAGAGGAAGAGAAGGGAGTAAATGAATGTGTTAATTTAACTGTAAAATAATAACAGGATATAACAGAGTTCTGAGTATCCACAGTGACCAATCAGAGCCTAAACATAGCTGAATTCCATCCCAGCCCCAGCACGTCCCTAACACAAGAATAAAACCCTTCTTATCTTGTTCAGCCATGTGTCGCCTGCCACAAACTGCAAAACAGAACAACGCCCAAAACCAGCTAGTCTGATTTCAAATGAGGACAGACAGACTCTGTAGTCAGAAGCACCACAATGAAAGAACTCTAACTCACACAGCTGGCCTGGTGGGTCTGCACACTCTACAAAACAAAGCCATACCACATACAGTACTTCAAACTTGAAAGGATCTTTAAAAAGCTTTACTGGCACTGTTAATTTGCCAATAGCTCTAGAATCAGCAAAATATATCTAGAGGACACTGGAATTAGAGAGAAAAGAGGAGGAGGGAGAGAGAGCGGAGAAGAAACTAAGAACTACTCTATACTCCTACCTTTGTTAAGGTACCCTGGAAAAAAAATAAACCAGCACTTCCAGATTTCACCCCAACATATATTCAAATCAGGGACAACTACTCTCCTATGAACGCCTGATATTTACAGAGTAAGATGTGTTTAAAGAAATTGTAACAGTCACCCAAGAATAATCTTGTTTAAAAAAAAAAAAAAAAAAACTAGTACAAATTCCTAAGATACAGGTATCCATACCGTCTCTGCAATGCATATTAAATTAAGCGGCTTTTAAAGTTTTTCTGTCCCCGTTTAAAAAAGTATTGTGAAATCAGCCAGGACCTGAACCAATTCAAGGATATTAATACCCAAACCAATATGCAGATTCATCTTATACTCAGAATACCCGTCTTTTAATCCTTTGTGCCCAGCACAGGGCCTGGCAAAGAACATTCATTGACTGCATGTTTACTGTGTTATTTATATCCCATCTATCTTATCAAAAAAATCCAAATCCTGAGATTTTATTTCCAAGATAATAAAAAAAAAGCAAGAAAATCTCTGAGAAGCAGAGAGGAAGAAGGTTATTATGTGGGTGCTATCAGGTGATTTTCATGTGAAATGAGCTGGTAAATTAACCACCCCTAGTATCACAATAAAAACTACCTACACTACATTAGTTCCTAATAAGACTTCTTGTCTAAAGGCTCAACACAGAGGGCCAGAATTGAATGAATGAGGAAAATAAAAACAATTACCCACACACCCATTACAGTGATTTCTCAGTAGCAAAACACCCTGAAAGGAACAGGAATGGGGACGACCCGAAGAAATTGGGATAAGCATTGTTGCTACTTGTTGTTATGGGTACAATCTGAAAAGTTGAAAACTAAAATGCATTTTAAAAAAATACACAAAGAATATAGTTTAAATATTTAATGGAATCTTTTAGGTGAACATTCACGTGACACTGGAAAGCATCAACAGGAAGAGGAAGTTCTGTTTCTGGAGTAGCTGTTATGGTATGATAATGGAATTTGGCCCTTTTAAAATCAACAAATGAGTCTGACGATTGGGTGAAACTCTATTAGGAAATTCAACTATTTTCTGCAGGAGCACTATTGTTGCGCTTTTCATCAAAGCGCTTTCTTTGGCCCCCTAATTCAGTTATTTGATCCTTTTTTTTTTTTTAATGATGTAATGGTTTTAATACTGACTTGAAAAAAAAAGGACTGAAATTTGGAACCAGCATACAATGTCATAATGAAATTGAGAAATAAAATACAGTAAAGAATTTACTGTTTAACCTAATATTCCAAAGAATAACCCTTAAGAGTAAAGAAGCTCCATTTAAACCACATAGTCTAGCTCAATTCACCAACCACCAGGCAACATAGATAGTAGTAGAAAGGACTCACTCAGAACTCAACGAATCCACCTGCCATGCTTGTACTACCTAATTCGCTTAGGGTTTGTATCCCTTAAATGCAAAAGCTGCTGGAAGATGAAATACTAAAAATGCAGCAATTAAAATCAAGCCCCATGACTCCCCCCACCCCCGCCTTTTTAGCTCCAGCAAGTGCCTGTGATTTACTAGTAATTTCAACATTCTGGAAAATTATTAGATAATAAACACTACACAGCTCAATATTCAAAGAAGACCAAGTTCAAAAATCATCATGCAGTAGTCTCAGAAAGAAGTTCACAAACAGCAATTCCTAAAATCTAACAGTGTCTAGAGAACTACAGGGCAGGAGGAAAACCAATGATGCACCAATACCCCAGCCGACTTCGGGCACTGACCTTCACCCAAAATGACCTTCCTCTGGTTCCAAGATAAGTACAGAATCCCAATGCACGCTACAGACAGAAAAACCACAATCATGGCTTTACCTACCCTTTCGCTGAGAATCTGGAGAAATGTTTCTCTCCGGAAAAAAAAGCTACATTTCCAAATGCAATCAACTGGGTAACTTGGCAGCAACCCCAGTCTAATTGCAGAGCTCCTAAACAACCCTCTCTCCTATGCCTGTCAACTTCACTGGTCAAAGGCAATCGGCAATCACTGACTCTCTGCTAGGTCAGGCCGAATCCAGGGAAGCTAAGCGCAGGGGGAGCTTCATACCAACCTGTCGGTGATAGTAGACTGTGTGCCACTCATTGGGGCCCTTGGCGAGAGGTCCTCCTTTTATCCAACTTGCATTTTACAGTAACACCTCCACCCCACCCCCAGTGCTCTGGGATCAGGCCCGACTCCGTAAGGGACACAAAAGTCCAACTCAAAACTCCATTCAGTCATCTAGAACGTCCGACTGGAAGGGTCAAGGAAAGGGGATGTAGGTCGGAGCAAAACAGGTTATCTCCCAAAATAAACCGAGGAAGTCCGCCAGAAAGCGAGTTCGAGAGCTACAGCTCAATCCTCGGGAAGGCACAAGGAGAGAACTTCGTCACGGAGGGAAGTCGGGGAGCCGTAGGGGAAGGGGCCCGGGAATCCCTCCGGGGCTGGGGCGGGATCAGCGCGGGGCTGGGTGTCGGCTCCTCCTCCGGAGAGTCGGGGGCCTGCGAGTCCCCGCCGCCGCGGGGCCGGCCGCTCAGCTCTCCGCTCTCTATCTGGGGCTGCCGGCCGCTCGTGGCCGCAGCCTCGGCCGCGTCTCGGGCCGTCCCGCGCCAGGCTCGCGCGGCTCCATGTCCCCGGGCCGGGGGACCCCTCTTGTCTTCCTCGCCGCCCCCACCAGGCTCCGGGCGCTGGGACGACCGCGAGCGCCGGGGGAAGAGGTTCCGCAGCCAGAGGTGACAGGAACCTGGTCTCTCAGTGCCGCGGGTTGCTCCCCATCCCTGCGAGGCCCGGACTCTTCCGCAGTCCGCACGGGCGGCGGCGGCTCCTCCCCGACGCGCCGGTAGGCGGCCGTTCCCGCGAGGGGCGGGAGGTTCCCGTCCGGCCCGGCCTCGAAACACCGGCCCCGGAGGCCGGCGGCGGCGGCGGCGGCAGCGCGGCGGCGGCGACCACTCGGAGCGCGGGGGCCGGCTCGCCGGGTCCTGGGGCCCTCGCGGGAGCGCGCGCGGCGGGCGGAGGAGGCCGCCAGCGGTGGGGGCCGCGCGACGATCGCAGGCGCGCGCACGGGTTCCGGTTCCGGTTCTGTCTTCCCGGCCCCGGCCGCGTCCAGCGCGAGCTCGCTCTTCCCCTCCCCCGCCGACTTTTTTTGGCCTCCTCCCCTCTGACTTCGGGAAGCCGCCTCACCCGGGATCCCTCCGCGGCGCGCGGGGCCGCCCCGCCGCCCTCGCCGCCCTCGCCGCCCGGCCGCCTGGCCCCCCGAGCCTCCCCGCGCGCCACGGCAGCGCGGACGCCTCCGCCGGAGTCCTGTTTGGGGGAGCGAAAAAGTAGTTCTGCGGGGCGGAGGGAGGTGCGAACCGGCCCGCTCCGGGAGTCCCACCCACCCACCAACCCAGCGTTGCCCTCGAGGGCCCCGCGAGCTCCGGAGAGCTGTACTCTGGAGCCTGGCTTGTACTAACTCGGCTGTCCGCGGAGACCGCCGAAGAGCACTCCCCCGGTCCCGAGGCGTCCGGGATGAGAGGCTCTTTGGGAATTACCCGCCCCCTTGCCCTGGAAACGTTTATTCCTTACTGGAATGTACTTGTTCTTATTTTCTGATAATACATAAAGGCCGCTTGTGACTGATGGAAGCGAAGAACTCAGGTCCAGGTGCCGGGACACCGTCCCTCTCTAATGCAGCAAACCCCAGCAAAGAGAGGGTTTGGCCTTGGACGCTCACCTGGGGCACCTGCTGGCCTCATCCCAGGGCGGGGGCCGCCGCGCACAAATCCTGGCTGCCAGGGGAAACTTAGAGGACGGAGGTGTGTAGAGCTGGGGGGAAAGAGAGTTTGGGAATTGGAGCCAGGATTTCTTGGTATAATATTGCTTTGAGGCTGCTTCTGCCTTGGCAAAATGAAATGTATGATTTGCCAAATGGAGAAAGCATGGTGCTTTCCACAGCGACTTCACAAGCTTGCTGTGGAGAGACATGGGAGCATCAAATAAAGTATTTATCCAGTAGAAAGCATTGCAGTTCTCTCTGAAGAGTTCCCATATTTTTTTTCCTACCGGGTACATTTAGATATCCATCTAGTTTTATGGTTGCATAATTCCATAGTGTAGCAATTTAAGTAACACAATATAGTTCAGTTCTGCCTGCCAATGTCTAAAGTGGCTGTCCCTTTACCTGTTTTCAGACTTAATGGATTTAAACCTGTATTGGTGGGTGAGGGTCCTCAGCCTTTTTGTGGAAATCAAGTGGTAAAGCAAATTTAATAAACAGTGGATGTGGAGAGGGGAAACAATTACCTCTTAACAATGCTGTTTCTAAAAGTCAACCTGCAACAGTTCATGAAAAGATCATTATCCCTGAATAGATGCATGAGCTAAGGCTGACGTTAGAACGGGGTAAAAAAAGGAAAAGATAAACAGAGGCCAAAGATGACTCTTTATTGCCTTTTTTTTTTTTTTTTAAGTTCAGGGCACAGCCAGCTAATTTTGTAATGTTTATTTTGGGAAAGAATAGCAGCTGATTAACGTTCCAAGCCACTTTCCTAATGATCAGACCAGGATACATCGCCACCTGCTGGTGTACCCTAGCATAATTCTACCCTGAGAACTCTTGATATTAGATTGCCTATTTTTCATACTAACTGGAAAGAGCTCCGTCCCCCTATATAAAATGACCGAAGTGCAAACTTTGTCCCCAAACATATATCTTCCTTAAACATACTAAATATCTTTTTGCCAGATTCTAATAACTTACAGGGTAGGTATGAAATTAATTGGACCCAATGACTCATCAAATCATGCCTTTTTTTAAATGAGTTCTCCTCTTCCCTTCAAGAATGCCTCACTACTTGAGCTTCAGGAATAAAACAAACTGGGAAAGTTTCCGAATTCACCTTCTCTTCCTTGCATACAAAAACCTCTTGGCAGGCTGCTTTCAAGATCTTTCCAAACTTAAACAGACCCAAAGTTCTAGCTGTGAGCAAAGAAGGCATTTGCTGTGGGAAAACTTCAGAAGATGGTAAGCAAAGGATTTAATTAAGCCAGTGGTTATTCATTCCAGAACTGTTTTTTTCAATGATGAAAATCTCTATGTTCACCCACAAAGCTCTAATGGTAAAAACATCCCTGAAAGCCTCTTTAGAGCTGTTGGTAGCTCTAGACTGTTCTAAAGGCTCTATAGAATGCCCTCAGAAGAGTCACACCAGTCTAGGTAGAACACAATGCCCATGGTCATTAGTCCCTTACCTAAAAAGATTTGCCAAATGGAGAAAGCATGGTGCTTTCCACAGCGACTTCACAAGCTTGCTGTGGAGAGACATGGGAGCATCAAATAAAGTATTTATCCAG